CACAGAAAAACCCTGGGGTGTGGGCGCTATTCTTGCCTTGAAACTTAGTGAAACTTAGTGGAACTTACCTTTAAAGGCATCTGGGCCTTGTTTGTTTTAGCAGTTCTGGGGAGAGAACCCAAGGCCATGTGTGTGTTAGGCAAGCACTCTACCACTTGCTGTGTATGCCCCAGCCTTTGTGTGTGTGTGTGTGTGTGTGTGTGTGTGTGTGTGTGTGTACATGTCCAGTCATTGTATGTGCAGGTGCATCTTGTGTATATGTGTAAGCTAGCGGTCAACCTTGAGTATTGTTCCTCGGGAACCACCTACCTTGTTTTTTGTTCTCTGTGTGTGTTTCCGTGTTTCCACATGTGCCATGGCACACAGGTAGCAGTCCAGAGGACACTTGCAGGAGTTTATTGAGAAATACCATATAGGGTCTGGAGATCAAACTCAAGTCATCAGGATTGGTGTCTATCTGGCCCTACATTGTTTTTTGTTTTTTTGAGACAAGGCCTCAATACATAGCCCTGGTGTCTTGAAACTTACTATGTAGACCAGGCTGGCTTCAACCTCTACAACCATGCCTAACAGGTGGCACTTAGATCCAGGGATCTTCCTGTATCTGCCTTGCCTGTGCTACTTGGCTTGTTACATGGGTGTTAGGTATCAAACACAGGTCCTTAATGCTTATTCAGCAAGCATTTTACTGCCTGAGCTGTTTCCTCACCCCATAGACAGGCATCGTGCCCAGCTGGTAACTCTTTTTTCTAATATTTTATTACACAATTTCAAGCATATGGCAAATTGAAAGAATTTTACAATGAATACCTATCTGCAAACTAGATTCTGCCATTTTGCTACACTTACTCATTTCACGCTTATTTCTAGGTTCATTTTTTTTACATGTTAACTGTTTTTTTGACAATTTTTTCTCATTTTATATATTTTTATATACCAGTCCCAGTTCCTGTTCCCTCCCCATGTTAGCTGTTTTTAACTTTCACAAAGTCATATAGATCCATAGGGTTTATTGTTGTACTGTTTTGTTTTTATTTTACAACTTCTGGGTTTGGTCCCTTTTTGAAAAGCAATTAAGGTTTATGAATGAGTGTTTTACCTGTATACATATCTGTGTACCATGTGTGTGCCTGGTACCTGCAGAGTCTAGAAATGGGTATCAGATTCCCTGAAACTGAAGTTAAGATGGTTGTGAGCCTCCATAATATACTGAGAATAAACTCGAGGTCCTCTGCAAGGGCAGCAAGGATTTTCTTAGCCACTAAGCCCTCAAGGATTTGGTCTTTTTGCGGAGGGAGATTTGATTTTGTTGCTTGTTTGATACAGAATCTTTCTATGTAGCCCTGGCCGTCCTGCTGCTCTAGCTGTTCTCGTCTCTATATAGAGCAGACTGGACTCAGACTTACAAGAGATCTACCTGCCTCTGTTTCCCAAGTGCTGGGGTTAAAGGTGTGAGGCACACATTCAGCTTCCTTTTTTTTGACAGATCTTGCTGGCATACCTCTCATTCTAGGATTTTGCAGACTGAGGCAAGGGATCAAAAGTTCAAGTCTATCCTGGCTATGTGAGACCCTGCCTCAGAAATCTTAAGAAAGTGAACAAAAATACTATGTTTGACCCACTGATTGTAACTTGTTGATTCCTAGACCAGATAACTATTATTATTTATCAACTAGATACTGTTTATTAATAGATACTATTATTTATTGACTAGTGAATTGCCTTGTTAATTTGAAACATAATTTTTTATACTAAATCTCTCCCTCTCCCTGAGTGTGTGTGCACATGTGTGGTTTTATCAAACATTGGACTTTTTAAAATCTTGTGTAATAAAAATGATCTGGGTTGGGTCTAGCTGATGGCAGTTGATGGCTTCTTGGGAAGGGAGGGCCAATTTTCTATTGGGAAGGGTGGCCTCTGGTAGTAGAGGGCCGCACACCTATAAGTATATAGCCAGTACAAATTGAAATCAGTGGACTATTGAAAAAAAGAGAGAAGACATGACGTTGGGAGGGGTTGGGCGGATCTGGGAGGAGTTAGGGAGAAGTGGAGGATGAGTGTGATCAAAGTACCTTCTGTGTATTATGAAATTATCAAAGAAACAAATTTATATTGAGAAAAGACTGTCACAGATCTAAACATTCTAAGGCTAGGCATGATGGCATAAGCCTTTAATTCGGCACTCAGGAGGTAGAGGCATGTGGATCTCTGACTTTGAGGCCAGCCTGGTCTGCATAGTGAATTCCAAGTCAGTCTGGACTGCATAGTAAGAACTTGTCTCAAAAAGAGGAAAGGGAGGGAGGGAGTGAAGAGACATTCCAAATAAGATAGATTCTAAGTAAGATAGGTGCATAGATATTTCTTCTCGCACAAAAACAGCTTAATTCCTCTTTTGAGTGTGGACTGGTCTTAATGACTTTCATCTAAATTAAACCATAGAGTACAGAAAAAGGAAAAATAGGAATATTTTTTGAGATATAGCCAAGGACTATCTTCAACTTCTGGTCCTCTGTCTCCCAAGTGTTAAATTTATAGGCATGTACTACCATGCCTGGTTTCTATGCAGGGATCAAACAGACGTTTTCATATATGCTACACAAGTACTCTACCAACCTGAGCTACATTCCTTAGCCCCCCACGTTTTTTTTTTAGGTTGAGCAAAACGATAAATACCACTTTAATGACCAAGGCCAACATCACCAGAGACGTCATGCTGCTGCTGCTTGGTAGTATATAATCAAAAGGGCCTCTCACTTTTGTTGTTTCTCAACAAAACAAAATCCCATAACCTCAAGTTTAATTTAGAAATCACTTCAAACAAAATCATTACTATCCTTAAAAAGAAAAAAAATGCAGGCAGTGGTGATGCATGTCTTTAATCTCAGAACTCTGGAGGCAGAGGCAGGTTGATCTCTGAGTTTGAGGCCAGACTGTCTGGTCTACAGATCGAGTTCCAGGACAGCCACGGCTACACAGAGAAACCTTATCTCAAAACCAAACCAAAGAAAAAGTAAATAACTATACAAGTGGGCTGGAGGGATGGCTCAGTGGTTAACAACACTGATTGCTCTTCCATAGGTTCTGAGTTCAATTCCCAGCAACCATATGATGACTCACCACCCCATGTAATGAGATCTGGTGTCCTCTTCTGGCTTGCAGGCATGCATGCAGACAGAACGCAGTATACATAATAAATAAATAATTTAAAAAATAACTATACAAGTAAATCTTCATGTATGTGAAGAATAGTCATAAGATCTTACACATACATGGATAATCATTTATTTGTTTACAAGATTTATTATTTTCATTTATGTATATGTGTTTGCATGTATGTTTGTGCACATGCATTCAGATCCCAAAGAGCTTAAGTTACAGGCTTGTGAACTATCGTGTAGGTGTTGGGAATCAAACCAGGGTGTTTTGTATTGTGCATATTAATTTTACAGCCAGAATCGCTACAAAGTTTATTATTTATGTGAATCTGTGAGTGTATGTTTACATGTGCTCAGGAGGCAGAAGTAGGTATCAGATTCCCTGGAGCTAGAGTTACTTGTGGGTGTGAGCTGCCCAACATGGGTGCAGGGAACCAAACTTCCTTAAATCTCTGAGCCATTTCTCTGGCCCCTGATTTTCATTGTCATCATTATCACTGTTATTATTTTAGGGATACTGAAATTAGTGTCATGAATATGTTGTCCTTGAACTGTACCTACAGCTCCTGATTTATTATTTGTGATCTTTCTTTTGATTGATTTAGGCTTTACAGGGTTATTCTAAAATTAGATACAAATAATGATGATTCTTTCACCTTTACAGTTCTTTTTTTTAAATGATTTATTTTTATCTTATGTGCATAGGTGTCAGGTCCCCTAGAACTGGAGTCACAGACAGTTGTGAGTTGCCATGTGGGTGCTGGAAATTGAATCCAGGTCCTCTGGAAGAGCAGTCAGTGCTCTTAACCACTGAGCCATCCCTCCAGGCCCCCCTCTATAGTTCTTTTCTTCCTTCTCTTATTTAATTGCTTTAGCTAGTGTCATTAAAATAATGTAGTTTGAGTGGTGTCAATAATGGACATTCTCCTGTTATTACTGCTCATAAGTAGAATCTTGTTGCATTCTTCTGTGAAGTTTGATTCGTCTTGCTTGACAATGTTCTTTTTTACATTTTTATTTTTTTTTCTTCAATGCTGGATACTAAACACGGGGTCTGGCACTGAGATAAACACCCATAGCAGTATTTTTTCTTTTTAAATGAACATGTATTGGTTCTTTTTAAAATAATATTTTTTAAAGATAGGATCTCGTGTAACCTTAAACTCATTTTGAACCTTGACTAACCTTGAGATCCTGATCTTCCTGCCTCCACCTCTCAAGTGCTGGGATTATTGGTATGCCTGCCATAAGATACTTGATTGTTATTACTTACTGAGTCCTATACACTATATTAAGCTTTGAGGGATGAAGACTCAGCAGGCATGGTCCATCATTTCCTAGAACTCACCATTAAGTAATTTAACTTTTTGTGATATGGGAAATAGAACACAGGGCCTTCTGCATGCTGGGCCTGTGTACTACGGGTGAACTATATCTACAACACCAATATTTTTAGATGTGGGGGTTGCTATGTTGCCCAGGCTCACCCTGACCTTCTGGTGCTCAAGCCTTCTGCCTCAGGATCTTGGGCAGCTGGGGTTGATTAACTTTATCTGAGAGAGTACTTATATTTGGGGTTCTAGGTACAGAGACAGAACTGGGAGAAGCCTGGATAGAGGTGAGGAATCTATTCAGGAAGCTTGTGATACATGTGGACCAGAAGTGAGGAAGGGATGGAGATAAGTGGGTTGACTTTAAGAGCATAGTGGAGTGAGATTTTTCAGAGTCTTTTTTTTTTTTAGGGAGTGGGATTGAGGTCCTTGAGAGAGGGTTGTAGGGTAGACTATAACCCTCTTGAGCCTTTTGGGAAAAATGGTCTTTTAATCCCCATCCTTCTTCTCCTAGAGGTGGTCGTGGTGACAGGACTGGCCGCTATGGAGCCACTGATCGCACACAGGATGATGGTGGAGAGAACCGCAGCCGGGACCATGATTATAGAGACATGGACTACCGCTCCTACCCCCGAGAGTATGGCAGTCAGGAGGGCAAACATGAGTATGATGACTCATCTGAAGAGCAAAGTGCAGAGGTGAGGGCAGAGCCAGGTCTTGGGGGAAATGCTCCTGAATGGCCTGTGTGTCTACCTGCAACACCAGGTGTAGGCCATGTTCTGCTCCTGTGCCTTTGGATTGCTCAGTTGCTTTGTGTCACCTAGGGGAGGGTCTGTCCCTGCTCCTTCTCTGAGGACTCTTCTAAGTTGGGTTTCCCTGGCTTCCTCCACACTGCTTTACTGTGTATTTCTCAAGGTTCCTAGCCATTACTTTTTTCCCTTCTTCCCTGTTGTTCAGTTTTGGTCTTTGGTTCACTGCAAGCACTATACTGCCTGCCCTACCAATTTAGGGTACTCAAAAGGATCTCTTCCATGGGACCCAGCATCTAGGGTTGGGAGGACAACCTGAGAACAGAATTATCATCCAAGCCAAACAACTCTGGGAAGCTAACACTGAGTGTTCCTGATCTTGACAAAAACCTTTAGACAGAAGGGAAGGAAAGGACCTCTGGGGAAGCCAGTTCTCTGTGGTAGTTACCTCTACCCTAAAGGATGAGGCATGATGCTCACCGTGAGAGAGCCCACATCTGAGGGCTAGAAACACCCTTGCCCCAGAGAACTCCAGTCTGAGGGGACAGTCAAAGACCTAGTGTAAGCAGGCAGGCAGGAGGCAGGCAGCTCTTTGTCTAGTAGGATGGAAAGGTTACACTTGCAAGCTGAGCCTTGAGGAATTGTATTTGAGCTATCCTCTACTCTTTAGGCAGAGGGGCTATTCCCTTGATATACTTTGTTTGCTTAGCCAGGGCCTATAGGCATCCAGGCTTCTCAATTGCCTGCTCTTGAGCAGTGTCTCTTAATGGGTACAATGGACCTTGGAAAGAGACCATTGACAAGTATAGAATACAGCATCCAATTGTCTGGGCCTGTCCTGCAGGTGGGAGGATGTAGGCTTAGGCCAGATCTGCTTAGTGTTGAAATTAGTAGATTGGACAACAGCTAAGAATTAGCAGCTACACTCTCTTGTCAAAGAACTAATAATGAATGAAGACTTTGTCAGGGCTGAGGAACAAGGACCAAGGAGGAGCATAGTAGCCCACCAACTCCTGCTGGCTGCCTTTGACTCATCTGAAACTGTTTCTAAAACTGCTGGTTTGGTTCTAGGGTCCAATCTTAAGCAGGGAACTATATAAGACAGGTCTTTTTCAGTGGCACAGTAAATAATTGTACTCATACTAGCTAAGCTGGCAAAGGAAGAAAAGGGAAGAAATTGAAGGCAAAGTCTAAAACCCAGGCTAGTTTATCCCAAGGAGGTTTAAGCTGTGTTTTTTTGTCTACCTGCCTTTGGGAGTTCCTCCTCCACACCAATACTGCCATTCTTTGACGGCAGCTCCCAAAAGTATTCTGTGGAACATTTGCAGCCTTAAAAAGGCTACAATCCAAGGCCTACCCACTCTGCCTGCCTGAGCCTTTAACTGGAGCCCGCCCGCCCACCCCTGGCTTTCAGAGCCGGCCTGTCTCAGAGAGCCATCGGCCAGCCACTAGGCCCACCCAGGCTGACTGCCCGTCTGGTGTCTCTCGTCTTATTCTGTCGGCCAGGATTCCCCGGGCTCCGAGACTCAGCGTAGGCGGCGGAGGCGGCACAGGCACAGTCCCACTGGCCCGCCAGGCTTCCCCAGAGACGGCGACTGTCGGGACCAGGACTATCGGACCGAGCAAGGGGAGGAGGAGGAGGAGGAGGAGGAGGAGGAGGATGAGGAGGAGGATGAGGAGGAGGAGGAGAAGGCCAGTAACATCGTCATGCTGAGGATGCTGCCACAGGCAGCCACTGAGGATGACGTACGTGCCCCCCCCAATGGCCCTGGGCAGGTGGCAGAGCAGGAGGCCAGGCTGGGTTTTCTCCAGGGCCCTCAGCTATTCTACACCCATCCTTTGCGACCAACCACAGCACCTTCCCTCTCTTCTCCCCCACCAGCTCCTGTCCCCCAGCACTATCCATCCTCCAGGATGGGCCCCATCAGTTCCTGGTCTGGAAGGGAGAAGGCAGCAGACAGGCTGGCTTAGCCCAAGGGCAGTAGCGTGGGTGTCCAGTGCTGGTGGGTATGAGAGAAGAACATCCCTCCTGCACATTCCATTGGCTTTCATCCTTTTCGTATATGTGAATGGAGGGCCAGACCCAGTGTTGGATATTCTTGGTGGCAGAGACCCATGAGAGTAAGATGTTAGGGCCCACGAGGCTTTTCCCAAATTCCATATTCCTCTGTTTTTGTCAGTAGTGACAGCCTGGCCACAGCTACCCATAGGTGGCTCTTGATAGCTTCTTGACCCTGTTTGCCTTTATGACATTCTCTGCCTTCCATCTTCCTCTCTTCACCCATTTCCTTCTCATATAGATGTCTTAAGGCAAGCCACATTTGAAATCCAAAAGTATTACTAAAGTAGAGTTTTGATTAGTCTCCCTGATCCTTGTATCTCTCACTTCCTTCAGCCCCAGTTGGTTCTCTGAGCAGTGCTTCCCTGAAAGCCTGCCAACTGCCCTTTTTGTGACAGTAGTAATCCCCACTAAGAAGTCCTTCTAGGATCAGGCTGATTGCTGACATTTTTACCTGAGGTTTTATTGTAGGGTGGGCTATGTGCCAGGCTGATTGAATCCTCACAGAGGCTCTTTCTGGAAGGTACAAATTATAGTCAGTCCCACATAGCCCCAGTCAACAAAGTGACTTCTTTATGTTCCAACAAGTGGCAGCGTAGAGTTGGGGTCTAAACCTGGACTGCTGGACCCCAGAGCCCATGTTCTTGTTATTTCCCAAGCCTTCCTTGATTGGAGTCTTGATTGCTTTTCATCTTCCTGCATACTGGTATTCATAAGACTTAATTTCTTGTCTGTTACCCTGATGGGGAGCAGATGCCCCAAAGCACAGATTGTTCTCCCTAAAATGTATCTGGCATAAATTCCCCATCCACCAAAAGAGGTATTGCCAGCTTAGAGACTGTCTCACCTGGGGTCCTCAGTTGCCTCTGTAGTCTCTCAGGATCGTTTCACTCAGAAAGCTTCCCATATCAACCACCATGTCTTTTTGTCTTTAAGTTTCTCCTCCTCACAGGGCTGAGATGACTCAGGCTCCTATCCTTCTCTGTGTCATAGACAGGAGAGGGAGTAATTCCTTTGTGATGGATAAGAATTGGGCATTCCAGCTTCTATGCTTCTTGGCTACTACTAAGCCTCTTCTCAGATCACCCTGCCCACCATTCCTGACTTGCTGCCTCACTTGCTCTCCTGTTGTCTTTGTGCCCCTGGGGATCATCTTGCTGCCATCCTTTACCCTGTACTGTGTTTCTGTCTGTGTTTGACTCACTTTCTGTAAGTCCAAGGCTGGAAGCAAGACTGAGTACTAGTGTGGGTTGCAGTTGTTGTTATTGGGGAAAGCTTTGAAAGAGGCAGAGGAGGGGTGCGTGTGTGTGTGTGTGTGTGTGTGTGTGTGTTAGTGTGTGTTCATGTCATATACTTAGCTGCTTTCTTTACTAAATCCACCCCACTTCTTTATTTCCTGAACAGATCCGTGGCCAGCTGCAGTCCCATGGTGTCCAAGCACGGGAGGTTCGGCTGATGCGGAACAAATCCTCAGGTGAATTTTCGTTCCCAGTGCCCTCCCCTTCTGCTGACCAACCTCAGCCTCCAAAACTCCCTTCTGCCTCTGCCTTTCCCTCCCTCTTCCCCTCCCTATGCCTCTTCCTGCCACAGCTGGGAATGGGCAGCCTGGGGAGGGTGCCCTCTCTTTTTCTCTCCCACCCCCACTCTCACAGCTCCAGCCAACAGCCTCTACAGGAGGGCTTGTCCTGAAGGGGGTACAGCTCTGGGTTGAGCTGACTATTCCCAGGGGCAAGGCCAGGGCCAGGCTCTGGAAAACCTCTTTGGGACTCTGAGTATCTGAAGTGGTGACCCTTCCTAATACATAGACTTCCTTTTCCTTCCTCTGCCCCTTGGTCTCCTTCACATAACTTTGACAACAGCCTCTAAACAAAAGTAGTCTCACATGGACCCACCAGTATGTCCCAAGAGGGGAGGCAGGGGATGACTCGTGTATCCTAAGGAGCAGCCAGAACTTTCTGGCCTCGCCTGTTCCCTCCCTCCCTCCCTTCCTCTTTCCCTCTTTCAGGCTGCTTGGAGCTGGCCTGAGGTTTTAGCAGGGTGGGTGGAGTTGTCTCTGCAGGACCATTGCCCAGGCTCCCCAAGGCAGGCACAGTGGGGCCTCACTCTGCCTGGGCTTCTCTTTCCATCTCAGTCTCTCTCCTTATACCTCCTCCCTCTCTCCATCCTCCCTTGCGTACCCCCTATACAATTCTACCCACCCATGCATCCTGATGGTGATTCTTTTGGATGAAGCATGCCCTCCAGACCCACCACATTCAAGCCTCCTTCCGTTGCTACCTCTAAAGGAGTTACTTTCCCAGAATCGTAAGCCCCAAGGCCCTGGCCAGGCCTGGCGTCTCTCTCAGTGACATGTAGGTCTTGCTCTGCTTTACTCTAGCTATACCGATCACTGACAGAATCTGTTTCTTTCCCCAAGGAGGCATTCCAGGTATGGCCTCTCAGTGGCTTTGGACATTTCTCCTAGGCGCTTGTTCTTACCTGTAACGTCCTCTTGGCCAGCCCCAGCCACCATCTGCCTATTTAGGAGAATCTTGACTGTCAGTGGTTACACTCTCCCCACTGTGGCCCTGAAGTGGCTCCCTAGCGATTATCCTCTCCTTTGCCTACACCAAGGTTAAGCTGAGATTGTGTCCCTAACAACCCTCTGGTTTCCTATGTGCTGGCCGAAACACTACCCTCACCCCCAATAGCCTCACAGACCAACTTAGCCTGGCTTCTCTTGCTCTTTTGATTAAACATCTGTTCCAGTAATCCTCCTGGCCTTGCTCTAGGCTTGCCCATGAGTTGTTTGCTTTGGCCTATATGGAGTCAAAGCAGCCTCCTCTTCTAGAGACACATCTCTCCTTGTATCCCTTCCCTCTCAGTTCTCCATCTGTCACCCCAGGCTGGCTAGGCAAGTCTGCCTGAGCTCCCCACCCCCCAATCTCACTGCACAGTTGGGATATACGTCTCCTATCCTGATCTGACTCTCCTATTCTTACTTTCTTTCCTTCCCTTTTCCCTCTTTCCTGCCCTTCCCAACCATCTACCTTGACTCCTCTCTTCCCTGTTCTCTCTCTCTCTCTCTGATCACGTTTTCTCTTCCTTTCTCCTATTCCCCTTTCCCTCTCTGCCCCTGGTCCTCTCCCCTCGGGTTCTGCCCCTGGGAACGCCGTGTGTCCAAAGCTGTTGACTAACCCACTGCGTCTGTATCTGAATGCTGTCTCCAGGTCAGAGCCGGGGCTTCGCCTTCGTCGAGTTTAGTCACTTGCAGGACGCTACACGATGGATGGAAGCCAATCAGGTTGCTTTGCCGCACTTGAACCCCCCCCCAACAAATACTACTTTATAATCGAGCGCTCCCCATCGCCTGAATCTTATGGACACAGTTCCCTGCCCTGTGGCCCTGTGTCCTATACCCCTACCCCCTTTCTCTCCCCTCCTGACCACCACTATTTCCTCTTCCCATCTCTCACTACCCACTGGGCTTCCCATCTGGGGCCCACTCTCAACACTGTCCCTTGGCCCCTTCCTACTGCCAGGTTCTAGCTCTCCCTCACCTCTCCTGGCTGAGCTCTCAAAGGAAGAGCTGCCAGGGTAAGTTCCTTCCCCTAGCTTCCCACACCCCAGCAGGAACCTTCTGCTCCTGAGTCAGCAGAGCCAGAACTTGGTTGTGCTCTCAGGACCACTGAAATCCTGCCACTGGGGAGCATAGATGTTGTCACACAAACTAGCAAGACTTGTTTTGCTAGCTCTCTCCTGCATGTGAATTTGGCCCTCTGAGTTCCGTGCAGAGGGACAACACTGCTTTTTGGTTGAAAGTTCCAGTCAAGTGTGATAGTTTTATTGACGCCCTGGGCTCAATTCATTGGTCCCTCCCATTCACAGCACCCTCCTCACTCACAGGAGGCCCCCACCTCTACCTTCTCGATAAGGAACTGTGCTCTGTCAGCAACGGAGGGGGCTGGCTCCCCTAGCCTGGCACTAGATCCCAACTCAACTGCGTTGGGACCTTCCAAGACTCAAGGGTCTAACCTGGCTACCCAGCCCTATCCTATCACTGGTGTAGAGAGCACTAGAGAGAAGTGTCAGGGGAGGAACGGGCAGCTGTGGTGAAGTGGAGGGTCCTGGCAGAGGCAACCCTGTGGCCGGCTCTGTGGGCCGGGTCAATAGGCTAGTGCGGTGGGCCCAGGACCCGGCCAACCTTGAGAAAGTGGCCTCATGGCGGGAAACCTCCGTCTGTTAAATTGGCTTTCTTTTTCCCCTTCTCCAGCACTAGCGCTCGTGCGCTCTTTCTCTTTTTCTCTCCCCTCCTCTCTCTTCCCTGCCCATCTCCCCTCATTCCCAGAATAGCCTGTATAGTACTGGCCCTGGGTGTGGCCTGGCACTCTCAGGACCAAGCTGGGGGAGCACTCCCAACTCGGCAGTCGTTGGTCAACTGAGCACTATGTGCCTGATGGTGTGTGTGTGTGGGTGTGTGTGGGTGTATGTGGGCGTAAACAGTAAGCAGCTGTACCCTGAGAGCTGTGGTGCTTTCCTTCCCTCCCTCCCTCCGTTCCTTCTTCCCTCCATCAGTTCTCCAAACTCCCTTCATTCCCTGTCCCTCATCCATCCAGCTGAAGGGCTCGCTCACTCTCTTCTCCTTTGCTGAAACGGTGTGTGGGGCACTGCTACCTAGGCCTCACTGTACTCTGCTTTTTCCCACAGCATTCCCTCAACATCCTGGGCCAGAAAGTATCCATGCATTACAGCGACCCCAAGCCCAAGATCAATGAGGACTGGCTGTGTAATAAGGTACAGGGATGGGTGGCCAGCTGGTGCTGTGGGGAAAACTGCCCCAGCAGGAGCAGCAGCAGCTCACTCACTCAGAGCCTGTGAGAGGAAATGTGATCTTGGGAACAGGCTGTCCAGCCCCAGTCAGCAAGGCTCTACTCTCATCAAACATAGGCTGGCCTAGAGGCCCAGTAGACTTAAAAGAAATAATAGCATAAGTGACTAATCAGTGACAACAGAAGCCTACTACAGTGTGTAAAACAAGCTGCTTACAGACTGTCTCCGGTCTGCCTTGATATAGTAGTCAAGGTGGTTGGTTATTCTATCCATCACTTTTCTTCAGCTTTAAGAGATGAGAACGAGCACTAATTAAGTTGTTGAGAGAATGAAAGTGTTAATGGAGAGTAACATAGAAAAAGACTTCTGGCCTACATTCAACTCTTAAGTAGCTATTGTTACCTTTGAAAAGAAGCACAGAGTGTTCTGAGGGTGACTCAACCTTAAAGGTCCACCCTGTAAGTTGTGTGAGTATCATCATATTCCCTAAGAGGAAGCTGAGGCTCAGAAAGGTGCAACCATGCATGAGCCTTTAGCTTATAGGGCCACCTCCTGTTCTCTATGTGGCTTTAGGTCTGCCCTGAGGCCAGCTTTGTGATTCTACAGCCTCATCTGCCAGGGCTGTCTTGTAGTCCTGAAATCGAATAGGAAGCAGTCTGGTTAGTGGGAGAGTGGTACCTGTCATCTTTATATAGGGGAGATGCTCAACCTCTCTAGAAAGAGAGGAACAAAGTGATGAGTGGTACTTATCTTTTTTTCCTATTTTCCTTGAAACCAGTGTTTTCTTTGTCTTCTTACTCTCCTTTGTGTCCAACATGCCTTTTGGTTACCAGACCCTCTCATTTTCATCTTAGAATAGCCACCTTCCCTTCTTTGTCATTCTCATATTCATGCCGATTCCTATGCTCTGACCATGCTCTCCCTTCGCTGCTAAAACTCTAATAACATCTAGTTTTAGCATGAGGCCCTCCTTTAACTGTCATCATCTTCCCTTGCCAGCCTTGGCTTTTGTGTCTTTGCATGTTCCCTTTCACTAACTGTACAAAGTCTCTTAGTCCCTCCACTAAAGATCCCTTCCCAGCAAAATCTCTGGGCTTCCCAGATGTCACCTTCTTGCTTCTGTGTAGCCCAGCCCAGTGAACTGTGTCCCTCTCAGCCCATTCTCTGACCGTAACTTGAGTTAGCACAGTCTAAGCAGCCTGTTCTGATCATGTGGTATAAGGCTTGACACAGGTGTGCTGCTTAATACCTGACTGGAATAGGGGTAGAATGTGATGGAAGCTGGACAAGGTCTTTGGTAGCTGGACTATCCAAGGGGAAAAAAAAAATCAAAACTAGCTTTATTCAACCTAGTTCTAGCAAGAAGGAATGGGAAGGATCTGACCAAAGGCGTCCAGGAAATAATGAAAATTTCTGTTAGATAAGCAAGTCTCAGGAAAAGGGATCATGGGATACAATCCTGAGAGCTGATAGTCTCTCAGCAAGATGGGGAGAGAAGCAACTGCTGTAACAGCGAGAGTTGCTGATTGCTGAAGTAAGAGGGCTGGAACCAGTTGTCAGAGAAGATTTCCAAGATTGAAGTTCCAGAAGATTCCTGCCACCCCTGACCCCAAAAGCTCCCTTCCTGGGGATTATTATGTTGTTCTGTGGGTCCATATTTGGAGAATATCATGGAAAGCCCTGACCACCTGGCCTGTGCCTCACAGTGTGGTGTCCAGAACTTCAAACGCCGTGAGAAGTGCTTCAAATGTGGTGTGCCCAAATCAGGTGAGCCGTACTAACTGGGACTGGAAAGAGGTGAAAGGCCAGTGTGGAGAGGTGGGGAGTATGACCATCCATGGAGCTTCCACCTTTGTCACCAGCATATCTCCCACCATCCCTGACAGAGGCAGAGCAGAAGCTGCCCCTTGGCACCCGGTTGGATCAGCAGGCACTGCCGCTGGGTGGGCGGGAGCTAAGCCAGGGCCTACTCCCACTGCCGCAGCCCTACCAGGCCCAGGGAGTACTGACTTCCCAAGCCCTGTCCCAGGGCTCCGAGCCAAGCTCCGAGAACGCCAATGACAGTGAGTCAGTTGTTCTTTCCTCTTCCTCTATGCCCTAGGGCATCTGGTTTGGGACCTCTGAAGCCAGAGATATGGTAATGAACAAAACTTGGTCCTTATGAGGGGGGAGGGTGTTTCTACCTGGTATGGGGAAAAACACATGATATAGAGAGAGCAAGGGAGGGGCTGTCCACAAACTAATTTGGGGGTGTATATGAGAGGGCTCCTGGTGGATGAGAGACAGAGCAGGCACTCGGACTGACAAGCAGAGTTTATTTTAAGAGGAAGAGGAAGCAGAGGTACTGACCATAGAAGCAACTTGGGTCCCTGAGCAGACCATGAGAGGTGCGTCCTAACACTGGGCCCTTTCCCACAGCCATTATTTTGCGCAACCTGAACCCACACAGCACCATGGACTCCATCCTGGGTGCCCTAGCACCGTATGCAGTGCTGTCATCCTCCAATGTGCGTGTTATAAAGGACAAGCAGACGCAGCTGAACCGAGGCTTCGCCTTCATCCAGCTCTCCACCATCGTGGTGAGGGCGGCACAGGGGGGGGCCGGGCAGCTACGGTCCCGGCCCCCAGGGTAGGGAGGAGGGTCCTTTACCCCACCCACAACGCGGTCCCAATCTAGAAATGGGGCAATGGAGCCGGGGGGCCTCCCCGGGCCTGACCCTTCGGTCCACCCATAGGAGGCAGCCCAGCTTCTGCAGATCCTGCAGGCCCTGCACCCTCCGCTCACCATCGATGGCAAAACCATCAACGTGGAGTTTGCCAAGGGTTCTAAGAGGTCAGAGCCCCACCTAAGCCCCCTTACAGCTTTGCCGCCCACCACCACCTTGGGGATCCCCAGTTCATTTCCAGTTTCTACTATCCTCTCCCCAGGGATATGGCCTCCAATGAAGGCAGTCGCATCAATGCTGCCTCTGTGGCCAGTACTGCCATTGCTGCTGCCCAGTGGGCAATCTCACAGGTACTTAGCCTCCTCTGTCCCATCTCCCTGGCACCTGACTTTCATAACTCTTCTGTCTTCTTTCTGCAATAAGCAAAATTGGCCTTTTATCTAAATGTTCTGCCCTTTCATAACAGGTTTTGTAGGCCTTCAACTTTGCTCCTGCTTCTGTAGACAGTAATCCTTTCCCACTCCATCCTCCATCCTTCCCAGTCACTTTTGGGCTTTTTTTCTTTTTAAGGTGTTAATGTTATTTTTATGTGTATAAGTGTTTTGCCTGTACCTATGTATGTGTACCATGTGTGCCCAGTACCTGCAGAGGTGTCTTGATCCCCTGGACCTAGAATTTTGAATGACTATGAACCACTATATGGGTGCTGGGAACTGAACCTGGGTCATGAGCAACAAGTGCTCTTATCTGCTGAACGTTCCCTCCATCTCTACCTCCTGTACTTTTCTTGACAACACTCTTTGGATTGGTGCTCTATGCTGTTGGGTAGAACTTTTTTAATTGTCCTGAATTGATATAATGTGTTGTGTATTTTGTGTGTGTGTGTGTGTGTAAGAGAGAGAGAGAGAGAGATTGTTTATGTACATATATATGACATGAATAAAAAGAAAATTAATATCAAAAAAATTGGAGGTGGAGGCAAGAGGATCAGATGTTGAAGGCCATTCTTTGACTATATAGTGAGTTTGGGACCCTGTCTCAGAACCACAAAAACAAAAAGGAAAGAAAGGGAAGTGAAAAACTTGGTAGAAGAGAATAAAGACTTGGAGCATAGCAAGATACGATACATACCTGTAATCCTAGCACTGATATGGGGAGTGAAGGCAAAGGCAAGAGGATTGCTACACGTTCCAGGCCAGGTTGTTGTAAGGGGAAGGGCAGGAAGAGGAAGGGGAAAAAAAGATGTCTTACTTGGTCTGAGGCCTAACACATCAGTGTCAGCTCAGGGTGGGAAGGTAGCATTTGGGCATTTATCCTTTTTCTAGTCTTTTTCCTCTGCTGTTATCTTGTGGTCAGGACCCCTTACTTTTTACTTACCTTAAGACTGCATGCTTTTCTGTCAAGTAGAAATGCTAGCTCCACATGGTGGACAGATGCTTCTAGCAGATTCCTTATGTCCCCTCCTGTTCTAATGCTCTCCCTCAGGCTTCCCAAGGTGGAGAAAGTGCCTGGGCTGCCCCCGAGGAGCCACCAGTTGACTACAGCTACTATCAACAGGATGAGGGCTATGGCAGCAGCCAGGGTACAGATTCCCTCTATGCCCATGGCTACCTTAAGAACACCAAGGGCCAAGGCATGACTGGGACCAAAGGGGACCCAGCTGGAGCAGGTGAGCCTCAACCTCTCTTGCTGAGCCTTATTGTGGGGCCTAAACGCCTATTGTCTTATGGTCTGACATTCATGGACATTCTCCTTGGTTTTCCTTTCAGGTCCTGAGGCCTCCCTTGAGACTGGGGCAGACTCTGTCTCACTGCAGGCTTTCTCCCGAGCCCAGCCTGGTGCTGCCCCTGGGCTCTATCAGCAGTCAGCTGAGGGAAGCAGTGGCCAGGTCACAACTTCCAACAGCCAGGTGAGGATGACATTGCTACTCTGGGGAGGCTGGTGGGTTGGCAGGGTGCATCCTGAGTGGGTAGGGGCATATTAACAGACACTAAGTCCAGTTCCCTTGTGTAACCCATGAGCAGTCATATACCATCATGTCACCTGCTGTGCTCAAGTCTGAGCTCCAGAGCCCTACTCATCCAAGCTCTGCCTTACCACCAGCCACCAGTCCCACTGCCCCAGAATCCTACAGCCAGTACCGTGAGTAGCCATAGCCTGTGAGTAAGGGTGTGGACTTCTTCTTTAAGCAGGCAGGAATTCAACAACCTTGCCTTTCCTCACTACAGCTGTTCCTGATGTCTCTACTTACCAATATGATGAGACATCTGGCTACTACTATGACCCCCAGACTGGACTCTACTATGACCCCAACTCTCAGGTAGGTGACAAGCGGGTGGCCTAGGGAAAACGACTGTGGTTGTGTGGCAGCTAGCCCTAGAGGTCCTTCCTCATGTCCCCTCTCCCCATTCTTTTCCTCAGTATTACTACAATGCTCAGAGCCAACAGTACCTATACTGGGATGGGGAGCGGCGAACCTACATACCTGCCTTGGAGCAGTCTGCTGATGGACATAAGGAGACGGGGGCATCATCAAAGGAGGGAAAAGAGAAGAAAGAGAAGCATAAGACGAAGACAGCGCAACAGGTGAACTAGCAGCCAGGCTGTTTGGAGTCTTATGTTCGTTCTGTCACCTCCTGCCCTCTCCTGCCTTGGGAAAGTAGAATAGTGGATAGTAGATGGTCACGGACAAAGGTAGTAACTGCTTCAGACAGACAGGATTCTTGAGCCAGATCTCTGTACTGTAGCAGGACCACCTACCACCATGAAGTGAGTTGTGCCATCTGGGTGAGCTCTGGCAGTTTTTCTTTGTCCCAGGAAGGGAACCTTCATGCTGCTGGTGGATGTCTATTGACCCCAGATAAATTCTCATAGGCCCATAAAAAGTTGATTAAGAAAAGAAATATTGCAGGGTTTTCTAGTAGAGAGCAGTTAGAGGGAGCCTCGGTATATCTGTAGAGACATGGAAGCACCGCACTTAGAAGCAAACAATAAATTTTCCTTCAGCAACCTAAGGAATTACAAAAATGCCTCATGCCCTAAGAAAAACAGAACATTAAATGTGACACCATGTCTTAGGTTTCTGTTGCGATGATAAACACTGACCAAAAGAAATGTGGACGTGAAAGGGTTTTTTTATCATGAAGGGAAGTCAAAGAATGAACCTGGAGGCAGAAGCTGATGTGGAGATCATCGAGGAGCGCTGCTTACTGGCTTGTTCTCCATGGCTTGCTCAGTCTGCTTTCTTTTTTTTTTTAAATAATTATTTATTCATTATGTATACAGTGTCTGCATGTGCACCTGCAGAGCAGAAGAGGGCACCAGATCTCATTATATGGATGGTTGTGAGCCACCATGTGGTTGCTGGGAATTGAACTCAGGACCTCTGGAAGAACAGCCAGTGATCTTAACCTCTGAGCCATCTCTCCAGCCCTCAGTCTGCTTTCTTATACAACTCAGGACCACCTGCTTGGGGGTGGTACTACCCACAGTGAGCTGAGTCCTACCATGTTGATCAGTAATTAAGAAAATGGCCCACAGACTTACCAATAGGCCAATCTGTTAAAAACAGTTTCTTAATTGAGAATCCCTCTTCCCAGATATGTCTAGGTTTGTATCATGCTGACAAAAACCAACCAGCACATCACACATAAATTAAAATTATATACAAGGCTAGAGTTGTGGCTCAGTGGAAGAGTGCTTGTCTAGTATGTAGCAAGGCCTACTACCACATCTCCCCATACACAAGTATGTATGTAGCTCTCTGCTTTAGAAAGTAAAACTGAAAAATAGGAATACAAATGCCAAACAGAAGTTGGGGTTATAGCCAGGCAGTGGTGGCCTTTAATCCCAGCACTTGGGAGACAGGCCTATAGATCTCCAAGACCAGCCTGGTCTACAGAGTGAGTTCCAGGACAGCCAGAGCTATTCAGAGGAAAAAAAAAAAACCTGTCTCAAAAAAGAAAGAAGTAGCCGGGCGGTGGTGGCGCACGCCTTTAATCCCAGCACTTGGGAGGCAGAGGCAGGTGGATCTCTGTGAGTTCGAGACCAGCCTGGTCTACAAGAGCTAGTTCCAGTACAGGCTCCAAAGCTACAGAGAAACCCTGTCTCAAAAAAACCAAAAAAAAAAAAAAAAGAAAGAAAAAAGAAAAAAAGAAAGAAGTAGTTGGGGTTGTAACCAGAAAGGGGCTTGAAAAGAATCCCTAGCCAATACAGAAAGTAGAATCTTATACTACCACCACCACTGCCCCACTGCCCTCCTAACTTTCTGCTTGCTCTCCCTCCCAGTTGTATCTCACTTCCTTGCCCACACTACTTCTGCTGCCTCCTTTGCCTTTGTAAACCACATGGAGTGGGTTGGAGGCAGGGGAATATTTGGAAATGGGGCCAGTAGAGGGGAGGGTTCCTTGGCATGAGTTTATTTTAAGATGATTTGGAGGAGGTGGAGGTATTTGGGCGTGGTTTATTATTTGTAAAGGAATGTTCTATAAGGATAAGGCCCAAGAGCTATAGCCCAGAAACCAGGTATACACAGCCTTTTACAGTGGTTCAGATCAGAAAGGTACCAGATTTATGGCTACGGGGCCGGAAGGGCTACTGTTACAAGGGTCATGGGTGAGAAAATAAAACCTCAAGTTTGAGGAATCCTGGGAACTTTAACCTCCACCCTCACCCAACCCCCAGATTGCCAAGGACATGGAGCGGTGGGCCCGCAGTCTCAACAAGCAAAAAGAAAACTTCAAAAACAGCTTCCAGCCTATTAGTGCCCTACGAGATGATGAAAGGCGGGAATCAGCCACTGCAGATGCAGGCTATGCCATCCTTGAGAAGAAGGTGTGTTGTAACTGTCCATCTGTACCCCACCAACAATCTCATTACTCCTTAGGGTCCTCTGTGGAGCCCTGAATTTCTCTGTTCTCTACCTCAGGGAGCGCTAGCTGAAAGACAGCACACCAGCATGGATCTCCCAAAGTTGGCCAGTGATGACCGCCCAGTGAGTTGTTGGAGCAAAAACGGGCAGGGGTCTCTGATCTCAGCAGGGCTAATTGTCTGCCCTTACCCTCTACAGAGCCCACCTCGAGGACTGGTGGCAGCCTACAGCGGGGAGAGTGACAGTGAGGAGGAGCAGGAGCGAGGAGGTCCTGAGCGGGAAGAAAAGCTCACAGATTGGCAGAAACTAGCTTGTCTGCTCTGCCGCCGCCAGTTTCCCAGCAAGGAGGCACTCATCCGGCACCAGCAGCTCTCTGGGCTCCACAAGGTAATTGATCAGAGAGTTGGCAGGGTATCCTGTGTCTAGCTCATTCCAGCCCAGTTGCTTTACTCTCTCCTGTCCCCCTTTACAGCAAAACCTTGAGATTCACCGGAGAGCCCACTTGTCAGAAAATGAATTGGAAGCACTAGAAAAGAATGACATGGAGGTGAGGTGTGACCCACTCCTCGGCTCCATTCCATCTGTCCCTTCCAAGTCCCTGTCATTCCAGGCAGTGGGACTTAAAAGTTCCTTGGCCAGGTACAGCCTGACAGCCATGTGTTGTCCTATTGCAGTGAGACTTCTTCCCAATTCCCATCCCATCATGTCCTGACCTTCAAGATCTATGACCAGGCCATACAGAGAGGCCTGTAATCTTCCTCCCTCTCAGCCCCATCCATGCCTATGTTTGCTGAAAATAACAGCCAATTCCAACATCCTCACATGTGCTAATTTCTAGCAAATGAAGTACCGAGACCGTGCAGCTGAGCGCAGAGAGAAGTATGGTATCCCCGAGCCACCAGAACCCAAAAGGAGGAAATATGGTGGCATATCTACAGCCTCTGTGTGAGTGTAGGGTCAGGTACCAGGTGAGAGGGTCTGGCGCTGGCACACCACTCACACTGTACACTGTCACCTGCAGAGACTTTGAACAGCCCACTCGGGATGGATTAGGCAGTGACAACATTGGCAGTCGTATGCTCCAGGCCATGGGCTGGAAAGAAGGCAGCGGTCTAGGTCGCAAGAAACAGGGCATTGTGACACCCATTGAGGTGAGTGCATGAGACGTTCTTATTCTCAACATTTCCAGTGTACCTCTACGAGCCTGACAAACCTGCCTTTCTTACACAGGCCCAAACACGGGTTCGAGGTTCTGGCCTGGGTGCCCGGGGCAGTTCCTATGGGGTCACCTCAACAGAATCCTACAAGGAGACACTGCACAAGACAATGGTGACCCGCTTCAATGAGGCCCAGTGAACAACTTTGAAAGCAGTTTCTACAGACATGGGGTGTCTGTAGAAAAGATGAGATGTGGAGTGGTCTTAGGGAGGTTCTTCTGCTCCCCAACCAGAGAAGCTCTCACCAAATTAGACTTGGAGTGGGTGACTTTTTGCTGGGAAATTGGGTTCAAATCATGTTCCTTTTGTAATAAAATCTAAAAAGCCTGCATCTTCCATCTCTACTTTCTCATGCCCTAGCATGTTTTGTGAATGCATAAATAGCTACTAGGCTAAGCTGGATGGCATTGATGACTATAAATACGTGGGTTTCTAGCCACCGTCCCAACCAGTAAAATTCTTGTCAGAGACTGAAGTTTGTTCTCAGGCATCTATATGTAGAACACAACAGGTGCTTAAAACCCTGTTTGTCAACATGTTGATGACCCCAAAGGGATACAAGAAGCTTGGCCTGTAAGACTCCAGCCCAAGGATGTCATGATGATCATCAGTCAAGTTCACCCTTATCCACATGTGTAAATACAGTACCTCGCTCTCTATGGTCTACAGCCATGACTCCCAGGTTATGCTTATGGTATTGGCAAAGGTTCACAGTGGAGTGGCGCTTAAAACTGGGTTTGCCTTTTAAATCCTAGTCAGCTGAGCTGCAAAACGAGACTAGGAATGCAGGCCTAACTTGACACGGGTGTTTCCTTCCTACCATAGAGCACCAATTCCAGAATCCCCAGGGAACCCACACACCTTGGCGACTGTAGAGTAAAATGGTCTGGCAAACTGGCTTCATATGAAGTTAAACATGCATGTGCCCTGTCACCTAGCAGTTCCATGCCCAGGTATCTAGCCAACATAAATGAAAAGGCTTGTATGCATATTTGTTCCAGCTGTATTTGTAATAGCCCCAAACTGAGAATAGTCCAAAAGTCTAACAAAACAAATAAGCTTGATGTATTTGTAGAATGAAATAGAGCAAAAAGGAAGAAAATGCTAATAGAAGTATCAACAAATGAACCTCACAAACACAAGTAGGTGAAAAGTCACACAAAGGTACATATTAAATGATTCCATTAATATGGAACTTGGAAATCGAAGCAATTTGGTGATGGTAGTAGGCAGAACAGGATTGAGGCAGGGATGGCATTCGTCATATATAGATTATACAAGAAGTTAGGAAAAAAACACCAAAACAAAAGGAAGAAGGTGGAAGTACAATGTCACCTGCAGGAAATTGGTTCAGGGATAACTATTGCTCCTTACCATATCTATACCACCACCTGAGCCAAAACACCAGGATTTCTATCTGAAGTTTGATTATGTTTTGAGACAGGTCTCAAAACCAGGCTGGCTTCAAATTGGATATGTAAACAAGTTGGGTTTGAACTGATCCTCCTCCTACCTCCCAAAGTGCTGAGATTATGGACATGTGGCATCATGCCTAGCTCAAGTTCCTTACACAAAAATGGTAGAATATTTGTATAGAACCTGTATACACTTAAATCATCTATGGATGATGTGTAGTATATGGTACAATACACACACACATATATATATATTATATACTATATATATTGTATGCAATATTATGAAAAGTGTAGAAAAAAATAATTTCTCCTCTAACTTTTTGTTTATTGGTGCTGGGGACAACCCAGGGCTCTCCTTGATACTCTCAGCTGTCCCCTGAATATTTTCTGTCATGGTTGAATCTGCATGAACTCATGAATATGGGTCACTAAATGCAGTGAGCCTCCAACCAAGTCTCAGTTCTCTTCCCGGGTAGCCAGTGCTCTTAACTACAGAGCTATCTCTTCAGCCCCCATAAATGTACTTAATACTGAGGAAAAAAAATAGTAACTTTACGGTAGAGAAACCTGACAGGTACCATCTCTATTAGAATAAGGTGTATTAAAATTCTGTTTCCCAAGCTGGAGAGATGGCTCAGCAGTTAAGAGCACAGACTGCTCTTCCAGAGGGTCTAAGTTCAATTCCCCGCAACTACATAGTGGCTCTCTGCCATCTATAATGAGATCTGGTGCCCTCTTCTGGCCTGCAAGTATACATGCAGACAGAACACCATATACAATAAATCTTTTTTTTTTTAAAGTTCTGTTTCCAAAAAGACGGGATGAGAAAGGCACAGAATCACCTGGTTGACTCACTACCCAAGACAGAGCCTCAGTCTGTGTCAGGTGACATTAGATAAACCCAAATGGGTGAGGCACAAAAAGGCCTGTAATCTTCAAACGCATCAAGATCAGGAACACCAAAGGAAGACTGAAAGAGACATGCCATCTGAGCATTCTAGCACCACCACCATAGTGAGGTCTGCCCTGGCTACCCCATGGAAAATTTTCAACCCTCCCTTACCATGTTCCCTGTATGCCCTTGTGCTACACAATACATGGAAAAATTTTATTTTTCCATATTGGTTCTATTACTTGTTGCCTGAATTGGAACAAAAACCATGACAGAAGGGACTTTTGTCTGCCCTGCTTCTCACTGTGTCACCATTGCCTAGAACAGGGTTTGACACATATCAGACCTTGGAGGCAGAAGTAAATGCACACACCACAACTTTCTGAACCCCTCTCATTCCCAGGAATCTGTTGTTTTGTGTCCATGTTTGAGATTGAACCCAGGACCTCACATATAGTAGCCAAGTGTTCTTACCACTGAGATACACTGTTACCCTTAGTACTCCATTTTGGACAAAGTTTTAGTCAAGCGTATAGGCTACTTGGGCAAAGGATAGAAAGTTGGGATGAAGCGAAGAATTAGTTGAACCCAAAAGTCTGAGGCTAACCTGAGCAACATAGGAAGACAACGACTACATTAGAAGGAGGGGAGGGAAAGAAGAAAAAGACAGGAAAATGTGGGTGAATATACAAAAGATTCTTAGGGTTCCAGAAAAAAAAAATTCTTGGTGAGGCTATGAAGGAACAGATACACATTTCTAGAGGAGATAGAAATGATACAATAATCTTACTTCCTACCCTTTTGCTTACTTTCCCAGTTCCACAGTTTTTCTTGAGTTGTCCCTTCTAACTGTAACACCCTTCGGTCCCTCCTTCCTTTTTTAAAGTCCAAATAATGCTTCAATTACTGTATATGCAGTATGGCTGTATATCAACATACATTATATCCTTAATGTATCCCACTGGTAAAAGTGAAGACACTTAGAAACTCAGTCACATTCATAGTTTCAGTTGCCATGTGTTCTGGTCTTCAAATTCACATCTCCGGTGTAGACTTCACCCTGAATTTCATACTTAGTCTTCAAATCTTCTCGTTTTTCTTTTTTCTTTTTTTTTTTTTAAAAAATAGTTTCTTTTTGTTTTTTCCAGTCAGGGTTTCTCTGTAACAGTCCTGGCTATCCTGGAATTCACTTTGTAAAATACCAGACTGGCCTCGAACTCACCTCTACCTCCTGAGTGCTGGGGTTAAAGGTGTGTGCCATCACCTCCTAGCTTTTCTGTATTTTTGAAACTGGATTTCATGTAACTCAGGATAGCCTATAACTCTGTATCACCAAGAACGGCCTTGAATTCCTGATTCTCCTGTGTGCATTCACCTGGCTGGTTTTGAGTCTCACAGTAGCTCAGACTGGAACTCGGTGGTATGGCTGACCTCAGACTCCCCAGCAATCCTCCCATCACAGCCTCCAGAGTCTTGGTAATACAGGTGCGAACCACCATGCCTGGTCTCAACTCTTCTCTAGAGCAACATCTTGAGTGTCTTAAGGCATCTTAAATGTATTACAGGCAAAACCAAACTCTTCGTCTTGCCCCATCCATGCCCAGTCCTAGGAGAGTATTTCCTACAAGTCCATCCTTCCAGTTACACAGGCCACAAACTTAATGGGTCGGCAATGGCTCTAGTTTTCATACCTCAAATCTGTTTGATCTCTCAGCAAATCTAACATGTAGAAGTTTAAAATCAGTCCAGAATAGGACCCTTCCTCTCTGCTTCTACATTACTGGCTGGCTGCTCTAACATTACATCTTGAATTCTTTTTTGTTGTTATTGTTTTGTTTTGTTTTGTTTTCCGAGACAGGGTTTCTCTGTAACTTTGGAGTGTATCCCAGAACTAGCTCTTGGAGTCGAGGCTGGTCTCAAACTCACAGAGATCCACCTGCCTCTGCCTCCCAAGTGCTGGGATTAAAGGCGTGCTCCACCACCGCCCGACTTACTTCTTGAATTCTTGACAGTTAACTTACAGTGGTTTTTCTTCCCCACTTCCCACTATAAATGTTCTTTCCACATACCCAGACTGTTTCTGCAATTGGGCTGGGGTGTGACTCAGTTGGTAGAGTGCTTGCCTAGAATGTATAAGGCCTTGAGTTTTCTCCCCAACACTGCAATAAAATAAAATGTGTTTATTATGATTCCTGTGTTTAAAATCCTGTTACAACTGGGTATTGTGGCTCATGCCTATAATCCCAACATTTGGGGGTGTGGGGTGTGGGAGGATTACTGAAAATTCTAGGTTGGCCCCAGTATCTAAATGTGTTCCCAGGCCTGCCTGACCTACAGTAAGATGCTGTTCCAAAAAATAAAATCCTAGCCAGGTGTGGTAACACATGCCTTTATAATCCCAGCACAAGGGAGGCAGAGGCAGGTGGGTCTCCATGAGTTCTAGGCCAGCCTGGTCTACAAATCAAGTTCCAGGACAGCCAAGGCAGTTACACAGAGAAACCCTATCTTGAAAAACAAACAAACAAATAAATAAAAATATAAAAAAGAAGTCAGGTGGTGGTGGTGCACGCCTTTAGTCCCAGCACTTGGTAGGCAAAGGCAGGCGGGTCTCTGTGAGAGCGAGTTCTAGGACCTCCAAGGCTACACTGAGAAACTCAGTTTGTCAGGTTTGCACAGCAAGTGCCTTTACCTGCTGAGCCGCCTCACATGTTATCTATCTATCTATCTATCTATCTATCTATCTATCTATCTATCTATCTATCTATCTATCTCCTGAGTGTTCATTTAGTATCTCTCATAAGGCTGACCATTTGGGATTGGATAACCTGTCAAGAGGCATGTCTCAGATGAAAACTGATTCTTCCTCTCTTGGTGGTCACTGATTGTAGCTCTTCATCTAGGGGTGAGGACTTGTGAAATTCCCTGCCCCTATTCAACTTGTATTATCATTATGCAGGTCTTATTTAGGCAACCATTTGGGATTTCATGGATGCAGCTTCCCCATCATGTCTAGAAGATACT